TTTGCGTGTTTCTAACCTTGTGGGTCATTTCTAAAGACTATTTATCCTTTCCCATACATTTTAATGTTTTCCTAATTTCAATTTTTAAAGGTAAATTAAGTTCATTTTGGGAAGTACTTTATTATTGGCTCAGCATGCTACTTATATGATTTTTTCACACACTCCTTGTAGAGTATTTTTTTCTCATTATTTCAGACAACAACTGGATTAGGCAGTCCAATTACAATCTAGTCAATATTATAGAGTGTTAAGAATCCTGAAGAGAAGAAAAAATCCAAGAAAACTAAAATAAGACAGAACAAAAAGAGCTCTGAAGACAGAACTATCTTCTTGGGAAAGTGTTTTAACTTGTTTCCTTATCTATCTCAGAATGTTGTTTTGAAGATAAAATAAGGTATTCAATGCTTGCGAGCTGATTAACATGGTGCCTTGCATGTAGTAATTTCCTATTACTTACATTATTAGTCCTGAGGCTACACTTTTGTGCAGTTTTTAAAATTAGAATTTGATTTTTTCTAAATACTTGTTACCAATCTGCCTGCAAATCATCAAGAAGCCAATATTTTCCTAGTGGAGACAACCAACAATTTAATCAAATAATGTTTAGTATAATATTAGGTTTAGAGTTAGGGTTATGAAGTGGTCCCAAGGAAAATAAGCAGGGTGATGCGATAAAGAATAATGAATGTACTAATTTAGACAGGGTGGTCAAGGAAGGCTTCCCACAGCAGATGGCAATAGAACAGAGATCGGAATGAAAGGAGGGAAGGAACTATGTGACTGGCTCATTCATTAGGTGAATGAGTGCTTGTTAGCTGCATCCTTTTGGTTCTTAGTCACATGTCTTAGTCATAAAGAGTGTGAATAAGGCATGTGACTCTGAACTATTTATATTTCTATGACTTAGGATGTCAAACAGATATTACAGTCCAAGAAGGAACTGTCTGGGCTTCTCATGTCCTTTAAATAGCCTTCAGCAATTACACATTTCCCACCATTAACTTAGTACTTCTTGAATGGTCTGTCAGTTCTATAAATGATCTTAGTATGAGAAGTCCTTTGAAGAGAAAGGCATTTGGAAAAACCTATCAGAGGAAAGCACCTATGGTATTCGGGAAATAATCTTGAAGAGAAATGGGTTTAAATTCTAGCCCACCACTGGCTATGTGGACTTGCATATGTCCCCTCACTTTACTGAGTCTGTTTCGTTACCTATAAAATGGGGATGACAATGTTTAATTCATATAATTGTTATCAAGGTCAAATGAAGTAATTGATATGAAAAATACTTGGTATGTTACAGGAAATCAATAAATGTTAGTTTGCTTTGAACGCTTGGCATGTCCTTAGACATAATGGGCTGGGGTTGGTTCTCTGCTTAAAAGAATTCTTAAGCATATTACACTACACTAAAAAGTTGAAATAAGAAATTTATGTTGTAATATTATATCATTGGAACTATAGTTAACATTGAGTGCTTACTATGTACAAGAATAATTCTGAGCATGTTACATGGGTTAACTCATTTATTTCTCACACTAACCATGTAAGATAACTACTGTTATTATGCCCATCTAACTCATGACAAAAATGGGACTAAAGAGACTGCCTGTGGTCACACAGTAAGTGGGAGAGTTGGGATTATAACCAAGATAGTTTAACATCAGAGTTCATGTTCTTAAATACTACTAAATTATACAATTGTAATTTAAAATTATCCTGTTAGGAGCTATCATCTTGGGTCTTTCCTAAAGAAATATCATTGTAGTAACAATAACAACAAAAATAGAGCATAAAGTACATGTGAGCAAATTTAAAAAGAGAACCAAGTAAAAAAAATCCATGTTAGTGTTAATTAGAAGTTGCTTTACATTATATCTGAAGTTAATACCCAACACTGCAGTATTATAGATCATTTACTATGCAATTTCATGTCTTCTCTCTCAAAACCTACTCAGTTACAGAAGAATGGCTGCTTGGTACTGATCAGAGATTAGGAAAAACATCTATCAAATCTAAACAGAATGTCTAAAATTCTGAGACCTCTTTTTTAAAAAAATGTAGACAGTGCAGCAGTAGTATTTTTGAGGGTTTGATCACAACAGATATAATCAATATGACATAGTGGAACAATGTCCATAACACAACTTTAATTATCTAAAAAATGTAAATAAAACTCCCAAGACAAACAGGTAAATATTGAATACATGTTAAGACTGACTACTAACTTGTGTTCTATCAAGTTATTTAAAGTCTTTTAACATGAGTAAAATCTATAAAGACTGAAAACATACGTTTGAATATATTTTGTAGAGTACAGATGCTAAATGATAACCAACTACTTAAGGCTTATAATTAATAGTAACCATGATATTATGCTGATCAATAAGTAATTATGTATTAAACTAGATAACTTGATCAGATAGAGTAGTAATTTAAAGTAGTAAAATAATATGGTATTTTAATACCATATATCCCACTTCATATACTTTTTAAAAAGAATTCCTTCTGTTAACTTTTTAAAAATATTTTTATTTATTTATTTTTGAAGGGGAAGGAAAGGAGAAAGAGGGAGAGAAACATCAATGTGTGGTTGCCTCCCGCACACCCCTACCAGGGACCTGGAACACAACCCAGGCATGTGCCCTAGCCTGGGAATCAAAGTGGCGACCCTTTGGTTCAAAGGTTGCTTCTCAACTCACTGAGACACACCAGCCAGGGCCCATTTCATATATCTTGTTATTACTCTTTCTTTTCTTTAAGTATAAGCACAAATATGGTAGTAAGGTAACAAATGTAATCTTTTGCAGAATAACAGGAAAAAGTATAAAATTTCTGCTTTGTATATTTCATATTGGCAAAATAACTACATAACATAGATAAATCTAATCTCAGGTCTTTGACATGATAGAATCTGATGGTGATAGTAGCACAGACATAGGAATGTGCCATAAAGTACATGTAAAAAAATGTATACAAAATGGAGAGAAATGAAGTTATGAAGAATATAACTATTGTAAAAGTACGAGGGTGATTGACAAAGGTGGGAAGTTCTTTAGATCAAGGGAAAAGTTAGTAAAATAAAAGTTATCATTAAAAAAGGTTGTAAGAAAATTACTGGCTCTCAGTCCCAAATAGGTACTGAAATCTCCTTCATACTTTGTTATCTAGCTGCATTGTGAAAACAGTGTATCTATGGTATCTCCTCAAAGAAGATAACCAGATACTACTTTTAACCCACAGAAAAAAAACACTGAAAACGATTGTAATTACATGGATAGTTTAACTAACTATAATAGTTACTAGTTATAGTCTCTGTAAGTAAAAATCCATTTATCAGTTAATTTTTTAGAATTCCATCCACTTTAAACCTACTACAGCGAAGCAGAGTGGATAAAAGGTTTCATCAATCTGACATTAAGGTAAATCAAATACATGAACAGGAAATGGTTTTGAGTACTTATATAGCCTCAATTATGTGTTAGTCAACTCAAGCAACCATTATGTACTCAATAATAGGTATGACACAGCTCAGGACATTAGTAACACTGTAAGCAGGCAGTCACAGGCAGCCTGCTTCTACTGATGTTTGGTGCTAACATTCCTAACAAGCAGGGAAAATAGTAATAATATGTCTTTCCCATTAGAACCTTATAGCAGTGCTCTACTAGATTTCTCTATTTGTTGTACTAATAACTAGAAAGTGCAGAACAACACTGACTTGCTATCTTAAAGGGAAAGAAAACACAGGTTACCAGCGTGGGTATAAAGTACACACTGACAGTGTTGTGAATATCACAATATTTTCCTGAGGATTTAACCTTCTACTGAGGGCAACTACAGTTATAAAGACTGTCTTGAAACATTAAAAGTTTCACTGGTGTACTTGATCATAAAACAGAGTAAACAGCAGGAAACTTCAACGCGTTGTTTCATAAAAAAGAGCAAGAAAGAAAAACAGCAGGGGAAGTAGGTGATCCTTAGGAAGGTATAAGGAAGCGCTTATAGAGTCTGATGCATTTTCAAAGCCAGTTTACAATCATTATTACCACAGCACACCCTTGTGAGGTAAACGTGTTATCAGCCGTGGTTCATAAATGAAAAAGCTGAGGCACTCAATGATTCAGTCACCCACCTAAGGAGAGTGAGTCAACGTCGAGTCATAGTTGACCCGGCCTAACGCCTCCTGACGACCAGTCCCGGGCTTAGTCAGCGGGGCCCCGAGTGGCTTCCCTGGCTCGCACCTGGACTTAGGCTATTTCTGTTCACATTGTACAGCAGAATAGTGGAACAGAGAGGGCAGAACTTACAAATAATTGCTTCCACTCAAGCTTTAGCCCTGAGATCTTACTCTCAGAACTTGGGACAGGAAAAGCTGCCGGGTGCACTCCCCCTCCCCCAACTTGTGGCAAGTGGGTACCGTGGGCGGTTCTCCCACCCGCCTTCGCAGTGATGGCGAGTGACCACCAGCGTTAGCGGAGCCGGGGGACGGGGGAGGGTTGATTGCTTTAAACAACGACTCTCCATCGCCGCGGCCTTTTTGAAATTAAAAGAAAATGGTGGGAAGTCAAAAGAAAATTAAATAAACACACCGGCAACTTGTCCTACGACCTCGACTAAACCAATGAAGCTTTATAGTGTGTGCTGAGCCTGCAGTTCTTAACCTTCTCGGGAAGATGGGAGGACAGGGCAACAAAGGGCACAGTAGTTATGCCTGGCAGTAAGTGCGACAGCAGCTACCCAGGCGGTAGAAGAGAGGACTGAAAACCACCCACCAGCACGCGGGTGTCCGCCGGGCAGAGAACCGCGAACCTTACTCACAGAGCACGTGACCAGCCTTTTTTAAAAAAAATTTTCTTTGCCCTTAAAAAGAGATAGCGAGAGACTCCACTTCCCAGAAGCCTCTCGTTACACACGCAGCAGCAGTTTTGCGCAGGCGCCACTAAGGCCAAACGGACGCATCCGTCACGTGGACACTAACTAGCCAACCCGGTTTGAATCCTATTTTTTCCTCTCACCCCCCCACCCCCTTCAGGAGCGGTTGTGTGATCAGATCGATCTAAGATGGCGACTGTGGAACCGGTGAGTATTGCCTTTGGCCCCCACCCCCACCAGTCCCCGCGCTCCGTCTCCCTTCGGACTGCGGGACCCCGCGGGACTGCGTTCCCTGCGCGTACGTTACCCCTTGCCGCCCCCTCCCCCTCTTCTTGGGTCTGAGCTCCCCGTGGGCAACTAGGGGCGCCGCGGAGGCTGGCCCGGGTGGCGTGTAGCGCATACGTTCTGATGGGGGCCCGAGAACTGGGAAAGAGGAGGGGGTGAAGGGCGGCGGGGCGCCTCCTGTGGAGCCCACATGGGTGGTGGTTGATCGGGCCCTGGGATAGGAGTGTGGGGTTTGTATTCGACATAGGAGGGCGCGGGGCTATGTCGTACCGGGCTCCGGGAGCCCAAGAGAGGGTGGGCGGCTTGCCGGCCTGGAATGAGAAGGAGGAGGGAGCCCCGGGGTTGTCTTTGCCTCCTCCCTCCCTCCAGCTCAGGGTCTCGGGCGCGGGGCGCGCGCGGGTCTTCATTAGTCCGGTGACAAGAGCCGGTGGGCTGGCGTTGCCGGAGCGTGGGTTGGGCGGGACTGGTGGGGCGGCTCGCGCGGAGAGCATCGACCTCGCCGTGGGGAGCAGACGGGGACTAGCGCATGTTACTCCAGCGCGCCGGAGAGTTGCCGGGTTTGGCGGCAGGGGAGGCGAGAAAGGTTTGGGGTGGAGAGGAGAACCCTGTGTCTCGCGGTACAGATCTCTGAGTATGATGAAAGGTGGTGGTGGCGGCGAGGGGGATCACTTTGTTCTCACCCCTCCACGCTTGAGACTGGGCTGTCATGGAGGAGGGAAGGGGGAGGAGCGAGGCCTACGGATCGTTGCTGCGGGTCTTGGTGCCGCCGGACCTGCTGCATTTCACCCACGCCTGTCTTCCATTCATTCATCCGTTCAGCGCAGCGCGCACGCCTCAGAGAATGCGAATGGGTCTGGATCCTGTTCGTTCTTGTTTTTATTGTCCAAAACACTTCTAAGACACACCTTATTGGAAATAGGAACTTAACTTTTAAAATAATTTCCATTTATTTTCTCTGTATCCATTCCGCAGGCTTTCCTCAAATTAGGCACCATTTTAAACTGAGTTGAAGCAAGCTGATTCCTGAACAGAAACTTTGTAGTTACCGCCCAGAGGAGAGGGTATCTTTGTCATAGTTTGGGTTTGCTGGCACTGGCTCACTGAAACTTCTAGGCTTGCTTGTGTTGCCGTTTTAGGAATGTTATATCTAAGTGACATTGTTTTAGAGGCATAATGGAGTTTATTTACAACCAGAAAACCTTTGACACTAGAATCAGTTCTAGACCTAGTCTGCTAAAAGTTTTTGTATATCTTTAATAGTAGTTTTTGATTTCCCTAAATGATCTACCAGTTTGCTTTGTCTTTTTAAAGACTTGTATAACTAAAAAAAGTAGTCCTGTAGTTTTTTTTTTAATGGAAAGGCCTGTAGAATAAAATAAAGGGCTTTTTAAAAATTACATTGATGTGAGCTATTCTTGTTGCCAATATTTAAGGAAACTTTTCTGTTTATTATTAGTATCAATTTTTATTTTTGCAAATTAGATTGACTGCAAGCATGTCTTTTAAGTTGTTGATACAATTAACTGACTTGAGGATATTAATGTTACATAGGTAAAGACTTAGGATAAGTATGTAGAGTTTTAACATAACACCCTTTTAATGGGTTCTGGTGCTTACTTTTGACTGGATCTGCTTTCCTACCCACTGTACCAGTGTTACTAGAAAACAGCACAGCTGGCGAGAGGGGCCAGGCTAAATCCTCTAAACAGTAATGTTTAATGTGAAGTTTGAGTAACATTTAGATTATTTAAATTTTGCAAAGTGATGCGGTTTTGTTAACAGCACAGAACTACAAAGTGTTGAAGGACTGATTTGAGTCAGTCTATTTATAGACCCTGATATGTTCAGAACTTTTACTGACAAAATTACACAAGATGTGATTTATACCTTGTTTAATGTAGACGTTTAATGAGCTTAATTCCAGTCAGTGATACAGTGATACAGTATTTGTTCTAGTGCTGTACCAGGATGCTTTGGATACTGAGTGAATTTTGGGAGTAGGGAACATAAAAACCTAGTGTGTGAAGGTGGAAAGCCAGATTGAAACTATAGTAGTTTGAGGATGTGTGTAAAATAGTATTGAAACGTTTAGTTTTAGTGAAAATGCAGATTTTTTAGCACTTCTAATGTGCCCTTGTCCAGGGGTTATTTAGAATTCTTTTTGACAACTTAAGTGAGATTTTTTTAAAAGCAGCTGATTAGTATTGGTTGGAATTGCGATATCCCTGCTGAAGCCTACAAAAAGCATGTTTGTTCACTGCTATTAGGGCTAGTTTGTAAGTTTCCTTACTGCTTTTCTGCTGGGCATAACAAGCACTTAAAGAGCCATGGTTTTTTCCTGCTTGTCCCACCTTTCATAGGCACTTGGGGACTTTTTATCTTTGTAAATTACATAAAATGTCAGTCATTTCAATTTTATTAAGTGAGATTTGTCTCAAGTGCGTGTGTATGAGTTCAGTTATACTAAATTTGTTAAGAAACTTGATAGGGCAAAATAAAGGAAGCATTTTCCCTCTTTATAGGTAAAATAGAAAAATTTTGAATATTGGGGTTAACAGTATTCTCCTGCTATTCTGTTGGCATTTAAATTGCAGCTGGATCAAAATTAGACTTAATATTAGTTGGGGAAGATGGCAAGGCAGTTTCCCCAGCCATCTTGTCTCCAGCAGGTCATGTTTCTTTGCAGCTTTATCTTCATCCTGTATTCTTTATTATTGGGCTGTTTTTTTTTTAAACTTGTAGTTCAGCGTCAGGTGTTAATTTCTTTTTAATTAAACTGAAGCTGTATAATTTTACTTGATTTTTATACCATGTCCTGAGTTTTTTTGACTGTATATTCATTTCAGAAGTACAATCAATTTGGTCAGCTGATCTGTTTCCTTTTTTATCTTTTAGAAACATGCTTTGTATTGCAAAGAGTTTATTTATTAAAAGTAAATAGAGCTTAAATACATATTGACAAATATGTTGTTACATAACTGTTTTTTTGTTAACCAAAGACCATTGATTGACAAGCATATCTTGCAAATTAATGTGTGTTCTTGCATTAATGAAAGAACCCAGGATACCAAAATTCATTTATAAAGCAGCTAAATGGTTTTAATGTTTATATTCCAAATTTCACTTCATTTTATACTTTGAATTACTAGTATACTTAATTTTTGACATAGAGAAATTCAGTTTAGAAATAGACATAGTCTAACACTGAAGTTGCAGAGAATAACATGTAAAATGAATTATGTAAACGATCCAATTGGAACAGAAAACTTTAGGCAAATTTTTAAAAATGAAATGCTCTAATTTATATATGGTTAAGAATATAGAGGCACCAGTAGTTCTGGACATAACAAGGAACCTGTGAAATAGTTCTTCTAGCAATGGTAATTTCTACTTTTCCTTTCTACTACTGGAAGTTTTCTGGCTCTTCTGGTACCTGTGACTTGCTCTACCTTTGTTATAGAGATTATTTGGAGAGGTGTAAGCAAACATGGTTTATAGTCTAATTTTAATATCTGTGGCCTTGAAGACTGAAAATTCTAAGTCTAGCTGAAAATTGGAAATACGTCTCATGGTGATTTTGATGTTTTAGTGCAGTATTTGAGATGACTGTCAGTTGTGAAGAACTAGATAAAGTTCATACTCCATGAATGTGTTCCATGTAGGTGTGTCCATCCATATATACTATATGTATTTTTTCCTTCCTTTGGTAGGAAAGTCACGTAGCTGCCTTTTAATTATTGGTCTTTGGCCATTAGGAAAAAAACGCAAAGCTTATGATCCACAAACCTTAGACACTCTTCCCACTTCTAGCTCTACCATAAAAATCACTAGTGTTTCTTCAAAAGTTCCTGTTTGTGTCTGGAAAAAAAAAAAGAATCACTTTTGTCTCTTATGTACTGAAGAGTCATCTCTAGAAGCTGAGAATGTGGTCAGAAAAATAAGATTTTTTTTTTTTTGCCCTGTTGAAACTTTTGATACATTATTTCACAGAAACAATGGGAAGCTGTACTTTGGTTAGTCACTCTGTGTTCAGTAAGTTTATGTGAAATTATGGCAGATCAAACCAGCATTGGATTTCCAGCAACTGACTTAATGAAAAGAACTTTTTAAATGTAATCTGTTATATCTATTTTTTTAAAGATTTTATTTATTTATTTTTAGAGGCGAAACATCAGTGTGTGGTTGCTTTTCATGTGCTCCTCACTGAGGACTTGGCCAGCAACACAGACTGGCTCTGTTTTTAATGTAGGCAGTTTTTTATTTCTTAATAATAGCTAAAATATACCATTTTATGTATGTAGGCACCACACCAAATGTTTTACATACATTGATTAATTTAATCCTTAAAAAGTAGTCCTGTGAGGTAGATAGGTATTATTCTTATAAGATGAGGAAACAAAGGCACAGAGAGATTAAGTAACTTTGTGTGACTAACTTGTCCAAGATCACACAGACGGGTGGAGTTCAAGCCGAAGCAACTAAGTTCCAGAAGGTGAGTTCTTAACCATGATACTCTTTCCAACAGGCATGTAATGTGCTTTCCTTGTGCAACTTGGGGCGATTAATTTGATAGACTTAACTAGATATTTTGCTACAGCTATAAGAAAAATTTGTGGACACTTGTTTTCAGGCTACTACAATGTTTGATAACTAAAGTACAGAATCATAAGGAAATGAATAGCACCTTGGTGTCTTCATTTGAGGAGTAAACAAGTAGTTATACTAGTCATATTTTAGTAACTGACCCAGAACTTTATGGGTAACTTTCTTAAGAAAGTGAACTGTCATTTCCCATCTCCAGGTTCTGATTTGATTTCTGGACCATGCCAATTCAGGTGATTGGTAATTGCCATTTAAAATACTTTGCTAGTGAAAACAGTAGTACATTTTTTTTAAATTTGAGGTTATGAAAAACAATTGGG